CCAAGCTGAAGTTCTGACCAGTTTCGCCTCCCTTGCGGGAGGCATCTTCAGTAGTCACACAACAATGCCTGTGTAAGCTTTGTGGAGAGGGCCGCGTTTTTTGTTACACACGGATGTGTGTGTCCCTGCGAACAAACCACGATTCTAGGATTTTCGGGACCCCCATCTGTCCTCCCTCGCCAAGGTCGTCGCGGCCGGGAAGTCAAAATAATGCCCTATTGTCCACACATAGTACACCAGTTCAGACTTCAGTCGGGTCGCGTGGGATGCGCACGTGACGTCACGCTTGTGTTTACAAAGCAAATGAAAAGTTCAACCTCAAGTCAACGCTATTTATCAAATATGTCCGTACTTCGTGGAGAGGGCCGCGGTTTTTCTTACACACGGATGTGTCTCTGAGAACAAACACGATTTTAGGAGATTTTCGGGACCCCCATCTTTGTCATAGGGTGACTCGTTTATCGGACTGTTCGTCGCAGCGAGAGTACAGGGAAGGATAATAATTCATACCCTATATCGTGCAGAAGAGAAGAATATAAAAAAAAAAAGAAAACGAAGCGAAAATTTCGATTTCCTTTCTTGTGGACAGGGCATTGTAGGTGAACGTGGCTTCCTTGTTTGATTCGCCAAAGTAGCAACAAAGCGACATTTTACGATTGAGCGAGCACCGTCGGAAACACTGCCCAAAATAATTTTATAGGGAGTTTCACGGCTTTCCACTGCGACATAAGCACGTGGATAGAAAAACAAATATTGACAACAATAATTGTCGAATATTTTTGGCACGCTCACACCTGGTTTTTCTTCATAATTTGATGACTCATATGTTGATTTTGTTTGCGGAACCGTACTTCTGACCGGCAATTTTATTGCGTACGCGAAGCTTTTGCGTGCGATCCACTACAGTTAATTATTTTGGGGTGTCCAAGTTGAAGCGGTGCGTGTTATTTTTCAATCTCTGTCCGAATGATACAAAGTTTCACGTTTTCACCCTGTGAGTGAAGTGAGTTGGTCAGTGCCAGCATCGAAGGCTAACTTCGAACTCTAATTTGGAAATAATGTCTCTGTTGCCGCATCGCGGACAAAGATATATATGCTCTTATCACTGTAGCAAAATAACGTGGCAGGATTTGTGCTCTTGTTATGATCGTGTACCATTGCGGTCGACGTCATCCCAGCACGGCGTATCGTTTTTGTATTCGGTTCAGCCCTGCAAACCACACTTAGGAAAAAAATGAAAGTTTGCACCTTGTTTGTTCAATTTTTTGTTATACTGCAGAAACATATTGCGCCCCGTGTTTTTGAAGGCACGGTAGACGGTGGTGACGGTGAGGTGACCGACCCCCATGTCAGCCGGGGTCTCGCTCGACCTCCTCGGAGGACAGGTCGTTTTTACTGGTGACTGGTGCATACGTGGAGCAACTCCGCGCGCATTGCGTTCTTCATCTCAGAGAACGCAATACATGACTCAGCTCTATCTCGTCATCGCTCCAAAATGACAAGTGGAATTCGCAACTGTAGTCGGTGACAGGTCAAGAACGAAGTGGGAGCTCCTCCCACCCTGTTCCACTTCAGCGGAGCGAACGGGGGAGAGGAGGTCGCCCCCTCTCCAGCGTTCGCAAATGGCAAATATTAGTTTATTAGGCCACTAACTGTCAATTTACGCTCGTTCCTTTACGTCCGCCGCAGCCGATAATGTTATCCCCGGGAATACCAAAAGTATAATTTCTTTCAGCAAAAAAAACAACAAAACAAAACAGAATAATAAAACGCCCGGTATATCACAGCTTTGACAACGCTTCACGTGTGTGAGGTTCGATGACCGACAGAGAACCACCGCTGGCCGTGCTCCCGAAGCGGGGAAGTGCAATTTATGGAGACCGATCATATTATCAGAAAGGTGCAGACTAGGGAGCCTTCATGTGCGCGAAGCGCACATGGAGGCACTCTAAGGCAGACAATCCAGGAAAAGTATTCTTGCAACTATGAGGTTCCAGTTGTACTTACACATGCATTATCGTCAAATTTGACGGAGTTCCTTCCAACATTAAAGAGTTGTCAAGAGTGAAGATTATAAAGGAGAATATCAGCAGGAATCTATTGTCTGTTTACTGAAAACAAAACAAGCATCAGAAAAACGCATTTGGGCGGCCGGGGAGGCCAGAAGCACGGACTGCGCACACCCAGCGTGGAACCAGCCAATAAGAGGGCACTCCTAGCAATCTGTTTTCAGAGCCACGGTATGCCGGCTGCCGGCCAAATGTCCACTTTAATTCTATTATGGCTTTCGAAACGTAAATACACGCTCGAGAATTTTCAACAATATCACGCGAGCGCCGACCGGCCTGTAGATCAGCGCATCGTCACGGCGCGAAGTAGCGATATCAATGACAGTACGCGCGTGCGCAGAAGAAACGCGCCGAAGTCGGCGTCGGCTGCTAAGCTGTTTCCCCAATCACGACCCACCCCTGGCGCGACGCCCACCGCTTGCTCCACCCCATAAGCAGGGGACCTAGTAATCAAAGCGACACGCACGGTACGCAAACACGAACAGCAGCCAGTAGGAAGGACACCGACACGAGCTTAGTCAGCGAACGAAAAGACAGACACAAACTTCACTCTAGGCAAACAGAGCAGGGGTAGTTACAAGGATGAGATGCGTGCGCAGACGGAGGTAAGCAGTGCACAATAAATACGCGAAAACTCGCAGCAACCGAAGAACTACGCAGCAAACACGTACGTGAACACGCACCAGAAGCACGTGCGTCACGCTGCGTATCTACGCAGAACTGGCGATTTTGGCATTTCGGTAATTTGAAACTTCGATATCGCTTCCGTGAACAATTTATTCAGCAAACTGAACCGGTGGAGCCTCGCATAAAAAAAAATCGTTTAACAATATGAAAGCGACTGAAATTCTTCCTAAAAGCTATATTAGCAGAAAGTACCGTGTTATAAAGGACCTCACGAGTTTCGACCAAGTTTTCCAGCACGTTATTTTGCAAGAAACGGAAGAAGCCAAGTGTACAACCAGTTTCCGAAGCTGGCAACCACAGCTGGAATCAGCGCCATCCTCGGCAGTTTCCTGAACCTCGCGTAGTCACATTTCAGCCACCGCCACATAGAGGGCGCAACCAGACATCCAATTTGTGTTTTCTGTGTGTTTTATGATTCTTTTTAATAAATAGGCTCGATTAGTGAAAATGTGGGCTAATAATCAGGACCTGGAACAGTAATCTCCATTTAATACTAAAAATATCGGCCTAAATGTCTGCCAAAAGGGGTCAAAATACTCGTTTTTGACTATCAACAAATACGTGATTTCACCTATATTCAAACTTTTTTTTATGGAAAATCAAAAGTGAAATTTAGAAAAAGGGCCTCGCTTTGCAAAGCAGAATATGTTTTTCTTTGCGGGCCTACAATTTTATTCATGTGTGCCAATCCCTAAGCGCTGTACCACTGTACTACCAAATGAAGTTTGCCAAAATTAACGGTTTTTGTCACTTTTCACGTGAGCATTCCGAAAAAAGTTTAAGCCATATTACAATGAAATTTAGCGTAACTCTTTCGACCATAATTACAAACTGATGTAAAAAGTTTCAAATAAAATGACAGAGTAGGCGCCCAAAACTTCGCGACTGAAGTGCTTCCGCAAAGTCAATTTTTCTAAAGTAAATATCTGTCAAAATATAATAAAAAACGAAAAAAGGGCCTCCGTTGACAATGAACGCACTCTTCTTCTATAACATTCTAAAATTAGAAAGAAATTGCTCCAATAGAGCACCCTGTACCACTGTACTACGAAACCATGTTTTGCCGAAAAGGTCAATGTTCGCGGGTGCCCTCTGAATTAGCTTTTTGCACTAGGAAAACAAGTCCTACATCAGATAAAAGATAATGTTGTACACTACAAGATGATATATAGCACATAATTTTAGCAAGCTTGAACACGCCACGATCGCATTTCGAAAACGTGCTGAAAGCGTCATATGTCATGGCCGCCGTGGGACCGCAGCCTTAAGTGGGAGGCAGTTTGGGTTTTTCTTTTTTTAACGGTGCCAAGCACGTGGGAGGTGGTATTTGCATTCCCAGACGAAAGGGAAAACAGACTCAGTGTTGCTTCAGTTTAGTTCTTGGTTGAGTTGAGCAGTTTGCTGCTTCTCCGTTATTCGCGACTGCAGCAACCTTTAGGGGAAGCCACTATCGGGCAAATATGGCGCTCTAAAGCAAGTCGTATTGTGCCATGTGCCAGCTCGACACACAGTGCTGGGGCATCCGCAAGCAAACATTGAACTGAAAATGGTTTGCTCCGATTTTTATCCTCCACGTTTCGAACCTGCGACAAGGTGTTAGAGTAAGCGAGGTTCCAAAGGCTTGACTTAGTTCGAAGAAGCGATAAAAGGACTGCCCTTCCACAGTGCTGATGAACGTTGTCTGGTTCACGCAGTTACGTAGGTTGCGTTCAGAGGAACCTGGGTAACAAGCTGATACTGCAGTTATGACAGAGGCACCGACAACTGTTCCATTCCACAAACCACCGACAACATGTAATCACGGAAGCCACAAGAGACGTGCAGAAATTGCAAAAGAACCCTTTCTGGCCATTTCAGTGTTTTCCCGCTAGGTGCCATCTGTTTTGCTGAATTCGTGAATAGGCCACCTTAGTTTTCTTGAGTGTTATAATATAGTTCTAGTGCCACTGCCATGGCATGGCTTTTTATGGGAACCACTGGAACAGTGACCAGCATTTCGCTAACAGACTTGCCTTTCTTCTTTGAGGTTGCCTTTCTGTGAAGTGCAGATTGGTATTCCGAGATCCTCCCGAACAGCTTGTTTGCTACATTGCTTTTGGGTGACCTAGATTCAGCTAATACTCTGTTTGGGTGAGTCAGAATCATGTCTAAAACTCTTTCAAAGTGTTAAGGTGGGGCTTTTAAGAGCCGAAGCTTGGAGTTTGTGTCACAAAGCGTTTGCAAATGTCGCCCCCCTCTGCCCAGGCAATGGACGGGGACGCGTGCGTGGGGGCCATCGTCTGCAAGCTAGACGTGCACAAGAAGCTGGTCAAGCGGGGCTACATTGCCATGCTTGCCGTGGATGCCAAGTACCGGAAGCGGAAAATAGGTGAGCACCCTTCTTCCTTCTATCCCCTTCCCTTCTTCCTTCTATCCCCTTCGTCTTATGATTAGGTCTAGCTACAGTTGGTGACAGGGTAAGAATGCAATAGAAGTACAAACCTTCTACCTTCAATAACACTTTGGTGTCTCAGGGGCATGTACAGCCCAAGCACGATAGAAGGCGACAAGCTCTTGAGGAAGTGTTGCGTCTAGTGCATTTTCAGTTTGTCGAGCATTTAATCTATTTTGTTTGTAGGTATATACACTCTGACGGCAGCTATTACAACATAAAAACCATCCAGGAGACAGGTGGGGTACCAGATCAGTTGTGATGACAAAGAGGAACAAAGTGAAATTCATAGTGTGGAGAATTGTGATATAGATTTACTTCTTTGCTGTGTTTTATAAATTTACTTATGTAGATACGAACAATGAAAACTTCTAGAAGTGGTCGTTTTCATTCTTGTAAATTTGCCTGAGGCTGTTTGATTTCTTCTAGTTTCCTGCTTTTGGCAACATCTTTCTATTGTGTTCTTTTTTATTTTTTCTAGTGAAAATTACGGAACACTTTAATGTTTACAAAAGTATATGAGTAGTTTTGACTCATGTCGTCGACTCGTGCAGGTTCAACACTGGTGCTAAAGGCGATACGGGCAATGATTAGCGACGACGCCGATGAGGTGAGTGACCGATTTCGGCTCAGACGTCACAAAAACAAAGCATCCCAAAATGACGGGTATTTCCACTGCTGGGGTAGGCTTGTTGGATTGTAGTTTCAGGACTTAAAAGACGGCAGCCACATTCAGATCAGCACGTCTCTGTACTAAGTTCAGTGGAGTCACCAGTAATGCTTACCACTTACACTCGGAAGCTACTTCCGTTATAATCACGCTCGATTTGATGCTAGCGTGGTAGATGGTCAGAATTAGAGAATTAAGAGAGCCTGGGCATGCCAAGGTATAATCTGGGATCTGGTTGAAATTATGTTGAGGAAATCTGGAAATGCGTGCCATTTAAGGCCAGTCCTTGGGCGAACATATCCCTACTATGCATGGTGTATCGATATGGCACACCAGTAAGAAGCACCTCCCAAGAAAGCGGAGCAGAGGGAACATGCGAGTGCATGCTGTATCTCATCCGACACAAGTTTTGTGCCAAGTGTCTCAAATAGAATCCTCTAGATGAAGCCATTTGGCTGCTCGGCGCTCAGATGCATGGTTTGCGGACATTGGCAACAGCGTTAGAATCATGCAAACACGTTAACCCCTCTGCCTTCTTATTCTGTCTGTAGTCATCCATTTCGTCTTATTCTGTCAATGCAAGAAACTCTTGTTCACCATTTAAACGCCTTTATTGACCAGTATTATCGGTTGGCAAAAGGGGAGGGGGGTTTCCTTGGGCCTTTTTGAGGCTTGCCGGGGTTCCTTGGGACGAAAAAGTTTAAGAACCCCTGCTTTTGAGTAACGACATTCCGATCATCATGGTATTCAGGCAGTTTAAAGGGGTTACAGGACACAACTCTATCAATATTTTTTCTGCAGAATTACATATATATTTATTGAAGCCTAAAATCTCAACTGCTCCGAAACTGTAACTGAAACATGAGCACGGAGACTCATGACATACCAGCAGACCGAGGAGGAGGGGGAAATGTGGAAGAGGAGAGAGTTGCTGGAAGTCAAGTGGCACGTGCCTCCCTATGTGACCGCAAGATTTTTTTTTTTTTTTTTTTGTGTATGAAGCAGAGGAGGCCAACAACATTGCATGTACCATATGCCGTATCTGTTCTGCTCATTGTTTTGTGCTTGTGCGCGACAGTTTCGAAGTAGCAGTCCCGCGTCTGTCGTGCACTGCCATCGTGCGTCGTGCAGACTGCAATACATCGCCATATTGAGAGTACTTCTGGTGATCTGTGCAACTTCTATTTTCAATTAATGTATTTGCGGTTTCTTGAAAGCTGCAAAAAGTAGGTTTCATGTTTTTTCTCTTTTTAATAGGGGTGTGCGAATGCTGAATAGTAGTTGTTGAATCGAATACCGAATCGAATTAAGAAAAAAAAAAAGCTGAATATTGAATTGAATATTGAATTTGATTTTATTTGTAGGAATTTTTCAGAGTGTTCTGCGAATGAGATTATTATATGTGCAGAGTATGCACCTGGTGCAGAAAATGCATCTCGTATAGAACAGAAGCTCAAACGTATAAAAGTTCTGGTGGAAAAAAAAAGCAGCTGTTGAAAGACAATGGGCACTAAAGATCCAATTTTATGGCGCAAACATAATTTATCTACCCTAAGCGTCACAAAAAAACCCAGAGTTACAGCCACGCGTGCCTTTTTTTCTCGTTAAAAGCACGACCTAACACCGCGACATGTTTTTTTTATATATATTGGTAGATCTCGGAAAAGGGGCATTTTGCGATATTTTGTCTCAATTTTAAGAGAGAAAAAGCGTAACCGGGATTTTATTCTATTTAAATAAACATTTAGCTGTTAAAATCTAAGTAAACAGACCTAAACAATATAATCTGAAGTAAAAAAAAAATGTGTGTGGTTAGGTGGCGCAAGTCACCGTCCAGCGGTGACTTGCGCCACCTAACCACACACTATGCGTCCATTCCTCCGTCCATCTATCCTGTTTTATAGAGCCTAGATTTAAAAGAGGGACCAGGTGAAACTGAAACCAGGGAGACGGCTCCTGCGCAGATTGGTCGTAAGTGCGCTTGTGTTGTGTTGTCGCGTGGAAAGAAGGCGAGCAAATGGAAGAGGGACGACGCTTGCCCGTTTGACACTTTCGTCTTTTTGTCACCTTCTCGCAGTCCGTAATTCAAATGTGGCTATCAAACGGTTGGAAACCCTTTCAAATCTAGGCACACTATTTTTCCATTCCGTTTCGTTCCAAATGATATTTGCGGCTTGCGGTTCCAAAAGAATGACGACGACAACTCGGCTGGTTTCGTCCGTTTCGTCGGCGTGGTTGACGTGGTTTTCTTTTTGTGATCATGCAGTCGCCGATTTCTGTGAGTGTGGCAAGTGTGTTGTAGATCGGCGCTTCAATTTGAAATTAAGGGCTTTACTCATGAAAAGAATTGGGCATGGCGCGAACTTCTGGCCTCTCAAGAATTCCTCTCTGGAAGCGGCGCAAGCGGGATGTTTCGGTTGTGATTCAAGGTTAGGTTGTGTCACGACTATAAGCAGTGATGTGATTGTTGCACCAAACTGCGCCAAGGGGTTAACCCTGCTACATCCTGCTACATTTTGCCAAAATATGAGTAATCTGCGCCAAGCCTGCGCCAAAGGACCAATTTCGGTCGCTTTTCAAAACCTAAACTAAACTGAGTACCACAATTGAGCATAGTGGTTTTTCCCGCCGTCTCCCGCGCTCTGGTCGTCTCGTATGGCGTCTATTTAAAATTTTTGTAACGATAGACGCAAACGTGTGCGTACACTCCGGTGCTAGCGTGCCAGGTACCAGCCATGCCGTAATGTTGTGAAACGAAACCATGTTTTTGCACGGCGGGAGTTACTTTGTGAGCTGAAGCACTCACTCCTGAAAGCAACGGCCAGGGGAAAACTATTATTGGTCCCCGTCTACCAGTCACCGTGGCTGCATGACGTCGGGTGCTGCCATCCCCACATCGCTGCAGATATGGTGCGTTTTAAACTGAAACGTAAGGACCACCGCAAGATCATTAACATTGCTGTTCTTGTTTAAATCTCTTTAACTGAAAGACTGATGTGTCGAAGTATTGATTACGTAGTTTTTTCTCGGTAGGCTTTCTTTTGAGAGGGACTCCGGAACGTGAAATGTCTGCCTCGAAAGAAAGTTGGTGAAGAGAAGTGAGCTAAAGCGAAGAAGGCAATGTCTGCACTCTGAACCCGCACAGCGCGCTTGTTTGTCTCGAGTTCAGTCGGTGCACAAAGCGCGCCAAGAACGTTTTGACCCTGACTCGCGATGTCTTGCATCAATGCGCACAGGTTCTTTTTTTCTGTGTGTTTAGCTTTTACCTCGCCTGCCGGCCTGGCAAGCTCGCGCCGCTGGACTGTTTTTTGTGGTATGCTGGACCATACATTTTGCATACAATTTTGGAAACAGCTGGCGGCGGAGCGGAGTGGCATGATTTCGGTTTCGATCGAACAGCCATCTCCGCGCGTGCGACGAAGCACGTGCAACTGCAAGCTGCCGAAGTTCCCCTCACTTGCATGCAAACATGATTGCACGACAGAGGCGCCAGCCGGGACGATTGCAATTCATTGCTTTACGTTTGCTTGCTTTTGACAAAAATCTGGCACGTCGGGAACCAGTAAAACGGTGGCAAGCGGTTTTTCGGAATTGCTCGGCAACGCAATCAGCACTGTACACTTGTGGGATGTCTCAATGTCTCTTTGGAGACATTGAAAGTGGATATTCTTTACTAGCAGAAGGCAAAGCGAGGCTTGCAGCAGCCTTGCAGAAAGTTTCGAAAAGCAAAAGGAAATGTACCCGTTAGTCGTACTGCATCTTTTCTCGTGTGCAGTTCCGCATTGCACTGCAGTAGTTACATGTTTCATCAGTGGGAGAGTGCTTCCAATTTATTGTATTATATAACTAGGTAGTCAAACTTTATGCATTGATATTTACTACTAAGCTGGTCATTTTCAAGTACATTTAATATGTGCAGTTTGAGTCTTAGTTTTCTATAATAATAATAATAATAATAATAATAATATTATTATTATTATTATTATTATTAATAATATTAATAATGTTTTATTTTTATAGCGGGTACATGTAATTTTACTGAAGCATTGCAAAATGTGTCATGTAATTGGCATTTCAGTTAACATTTTGAAAAACTCCCAGGTGGTCTAACTTGATTATAATTTGTGTATTGTGTCGAGCAAAGTGCCCTTCATCTGCCCACTCCTAAAACAAATATTTGTATTTTTCTAAGAATATCTGCTCCAAAAAACACTTATTGCTGCTCCAGAACGCTGTTCTGGCTGCTCCAAAGGCTGCTTTTGCTGCTCCAAAACACTGTTTTGGCTGCTCCGAAAGGTGCTCCAAAACGGCTTAGGCCAGTCACATCACTGGATAAGTAAATCTCCGTGCTATAAGTTTGTGGCATTCGGTTCTTTTCTTTTTTCTAACCTGTGCGTTATGTTTTTGTGGAATGGTAGGACCAAGAGGTGTTTCTCGCATGGTCTGTCTAACATCACGGCGCTAGCATCGAGAGAAAAAACGGCTCTTCTGTCAGCTCCGCGCCGACCGCGCGTCTTTAGCTGAATATATTGAATATTCGAGTAACCGAATACTAGGAATTCGATTTGTGAATCGAATTATTCGGGAACTTGCTATTCGATTCGAATCGGGTATTCGCACACCCTTAGTTTTTAATATTGATCATCTACCCTAGGTGACGCCCGACTCCGAATATATGTGGTACGTTAGGGCATGTGACCACGTGCCATTCCTCAACCGGCTGTTTATGGGCGAGTAAGAAAACGAATTTCAAGCCTGAAATTGTTTCCCGGGCGGTTGGGCTCTACTAAGTCACTTTAAAAGAGAAACCTTTGTGAGCATAAATATTTTCGTCAGTGTCCCTTTACAGTCATCGTTCCCAGTCGTCCGGAGCTCTATCTGAAATCCCAGCAAGCGCTTTTCCATCCTCCAGAAATGTGAGAACAGTTCGCGACAGAGCAAAACAATTTTGCAAGAGCTTACCGACAACGTTCCTAAACCTCAGGAAGTTGCATTCATTAATTGTAACTGTAGATTTCTTTGGTTGTAGCTTATTCGGTAGCTTTAGGAGTGTGCCGTCATCAGAAATTTGTCTGTTTCCCTGTTTCCAGGTGGTCCTGGAGACGGAAATCACCAACAAGCCCGCGCTGCGTCTGTACGAGAACCTTGGCTTTGTGCGCGACAAGCGGCTGTTCCGCTACTACCTGAACGGCGTGGACGCCCTTCGGCTCAAGCTCTGGCTGCTATGATCGCTGAGGGAAGGATGAGGAGCGGCGGGAGTGCAGCGGCGGAGGCTAGCCCTTGGTTTTCCCCCGAAAGCCTGCGTTGTTCTAACTTTCCTCGCCACCTTCGAAGCAACACCTCCACGGTAAACAGGCTGCCGGCGCGCCGCCTGCTGGAAGCTAGCGGGGGACGCGCGTCGGCGTTAGTTCGGGATCTGCGTTCGACCGGCAAGAGTACTTCACATCTCCGTCGCACGGACAGCTAAAACGCCGTTCACGCCAAATGACGTTTCGTGTGGATGCCGCGTGATCGGTGCCAAGCGGCGACTCGTATGGCATTTGGGCTAAATGGCACTTGCGCTGAGCTTCGTTTAGCGTGAATGGCGTTTCAGGTGCTAGTTTGACGGAGGTGTTGGTGGTCTGTTTCAGGTTTAGAATAGAGGGGCAAGCCCCTCCCAGAAAGCTCTCTGCTCGCCGCGATTGGTGGATTTCTCCTTTCCTCTCGCCTTCCCACCAGCGTTCATTCTGCCAAAGGGGAAAGGGTGAGGGCTTTTGGGAGGGGCTTGCAATGGCTTGCGGTTATTCTTACATTGCAACAGACTACACTCCCAGCCGAACGCCGATGCACCATCCGTGTCAACCTGTCCCTCACACTGGCTTCCAGTAGGTGACATACAAGTTACGGCGTTGCAGCCTTTCTTTCTAGGAGGTGTTGTTCAAAGACATTGTCTTTGTTGTTTTTTGCGTCGTCAAAGAAAGGCATTCTAGAGCAAGTCGTCGTTTTCAGGGCGTTGCGAGCACGGACAGTGACGGGAGTTTTCGGAGGGCAATGATTTTTTGCGGTAGCGTTTGCGCATAATTAATTTCATAGTGCCAGATGCGCCGCGGTGCAGGATTGGCACGAGGTAATGTTCGTCACCGAGAACGAGTGTTGGCTAGTATTTTTTAGAACGAATGATCGAACGTGAACAGCCTGAAGACAGGATTGAGTTTCAACGGTGGCAGCTTTCGATAAAGGCTAGTCTGCTTCTTTTTTTTTTTTCTGTGCCGATGGATCCCCTAAAACTAAAGATTGGAATTCGATTTTAATTTTTTTATTTCACTCTCGCGTAAGCTTTGTCTAGTGGAATAGTGACAGCAGAGGCAGAAAGCGGCATTTCAAAAGCGCTCGCTTGAAACACGTGTGTGTTGAGGTCCGCCGAAGTCGTCTGGAGATTTCTATTGTATGCAATTTGCTCGCGTTGGATCGGCAGTCCGTATTTCTGGGGGTCAGCTTGCACGGATGTCGTTGCCACCGACTAAGCGGTCGTCGTCGTCGTCCCTTTTCTTTTCTTTTTTTTTTGTTTGTTTTGTTTTAAAATTCCGCTTTGCGCCGCAGGGGCCGCACTTGCCAAGAAAGTGTTCTGGTCGTAATACGAAGGTCGCCCTTTTCCCCCCGTCGGGCGGTTTTTGTCGCTGGTGCGGAATAGAAGTTATAAGCCTGTTTCCTGGAAGTTTAATAAAATTTAAGTATGTACTTCCATGTGTTTGTCCCATTTTCGTTGTCTGTTTGTCTCCAGTTTAAATTATGTGTAACCTTAATCAACTTGTCTGTTTGCAAACTTTGTCCTCTACCTTGGTGTGTCTTCGTTTAAAATGGTGGTTGTGGGCTGTCCATTGGGCTCCTTATAGTGGGGTACATCGTAGCCAGAAAAAATGTTAGCATATTCTAGGTTACTACATCGAGATGCATCGAACCTGGCTCCTGGCTCTCTGCTGCTTGAACCTTTGCAGCCTGTTTTAGCTGATTCATAGATATTTAGATTTGAAATCTGTTGACGGACTTCTTTTCGTTCAATTGATGTGGCGTTTTTATACAGACAGCCGTCTCAGCTACATTTAAGGCAACCTGCAATGCTGTTGGGTTTGGCGCTATCTAGCAACTGAAGCAAGAAATATTGGGTATGCCAGGGAGTGGCGACTGTGTTTTTCAAACGTGAGCTATTACTCTGGTGGTGCCGCTTAGCCCAGTGCAACGTTACTGGAACCTCTCAGTTGGGAAACTGCCATAGAGCCTGTTCTGAAAAAGTGGTGCCGATCCTTATCTCAGTACTGAGCTAATAGCGATCGCAACACTGCCATTTCTCCCGCAGCGGCCACTCCGTGAACTGCACGGCTGCACTTACTGATCCTGTCGAGCCCTATTAGCTTAAAGCCTCTCTATCCTGGGAAAAGTGGCGCCATTCATTGTTGTGGAAATTCGCGAGACACATGCCGCGCGCCACTTCTGGGAAGAACATGGCGTCTGAAATTTAGCTCGGTGCTGCGCTGTGCCGCCATGATCTTCCCAAAGGCTGCACATGCATCGATGCACCTTGTGCTACTTTTGAAACATGAAGGGGCTTTAATTTAGCTCGGTCTCTGTGGACGCCAGCGGCCCAGGTTTCAAGGGCAAGTTTCCGAACTGAGCGTTTTAGCAACATTGGCCTAGTGTCTGAAATAAATACTGGGCAGGCCAGAAAATCGTGCCAGTACAACAGAAGCTACAGCCCTGGTGGGCCAGAACTGATGTTGGCTGACTATTCCTTGGGTATTCATTCTACCAGAAAAAGGAAAATGCTGACAGGCGTTGGCCTGGTGACTTGATTACTGGATAAGAGGGAAGGGTCCCTGCTAGAGTCTAGTCCCTACTAGTAGCCCCTGCCATGTTCCAGAGAATTTGTCAGCATCTGCCCTCTTCATCATGCCTGATTTTGGCTGAGGGTCTTGTATTCTTCAGCACTTACCAAAGTGCTCATCATCAGACCTTGGCAATAAAGCCAAAGCTGTGGGTGCCCGTGCGCCCGCGCACATTGAGCGCCGATCGCAGCTGTGCCATGGTGCTTAAATGCGTTCCAGACACCATCGCTGTGCTCGCGCGCTCTTCACTTCAAAAATGCCAGAAAAAAAAAAAAAAAAAATGCAGAGCTCTTTCTGCCCTTCCACTTCACGTGAAGATGGAGGACCAGCGAAGCTGTTATTAAAACCAACTAGCCATTCTTATTTCTACAGCAGAGTTGATAAGGGCTGGTTTCCCCAGGATCGCGTCCGGTACCAAACAAATGTCGACACCCGTGGTCGACACAACACTGGTTGCCGCCGTTGCTCATAGATAGCGGTGGCTGTCCAGAGTGTTGTGTTTGCTGGCTGTCTGCTTGCCGCCGTCGCTCGTATATCGCGGCAACCTTTCCAGCCTCAGCAACCAGACAACTCTTTGCTGCCGTTGCTCATAGATGGCGGCAGCATTTCTTCAGAGGATCTTCAGCTTGGCCACTGAACCTCAAACAGAAAAGGAGTGGGTGAGCACAGTCCGGGTAGAAGTGAAGAGGGTTGAGAGGGACCGTCGGATGAGCGGCATGCTACAACACCCTTCCATGCACATGTAGGCGTCTCTGAAGACGGAGATTGCCCCGTTGACTTTCTGCGGGAACACACTGGGCGGTCGACTACTTATAAAGGCCCGTGGTGGTGCCCTACGTATGATAGCAGCGTGACTGACACGGTATGCAGTGCGTGTGGAGCGGGCGAAGAGACAATCGACCAAGCTTGCTGCTTGCGTGCAGGGTGCTACACCCAACGCCTGTCGTGGGTGCCGGCTTGGAGCAGGCACTTGGTTTCACGAACGAACAGACCCATGTAGTATGCTCAGCAGGAACGGAACGAGCGGCGATGTGCGCAGCAGCGTGAATGGTTCCGCAATCTAAAGTTCCACTGCGTCGAGCGCTTCGGATTCTCTCGCGAAAGAAGAGCAGATCGCTCGCCCGGAAAGCCACCGCCGAGAACAGAAGCTACAGCTCCGCTGCTAGCTTCCTTCTTCACCAGAGTGGAAAGGCTGAAAGATTTTTTACGTCTAGGACGACCTCAAAGACGGCCCCTATGACGACCTCAATGATGACTTCTAGGACGACCTCAAGGACGACTTCTAGGACGACCTCGAGGACAATGCTCAGAGATGATAACAAGGAATCAGGACCTCACTATCTATACTCTGTTTCATACTAAGCGTGCAACACTGTTAGAGTGTACTCGAAAGGACGAGTGGGGCCACCGGAGTGCTATTTCGGTACCTCCGCATGTGGAAAAAATGGCTGATCCAAGCCACTTCCAAGTGAGAGGGCGCTACGAGCGAAGTGGTTCGGATTAGATGCTTCTTATGAAAAATGTGTTTCGTTCCAACGCCAAGCTCGACTGGCACACTGGTCAAGGTCATAGAAACGATAGAACTCCGGACTATATTTTTTATACAACCTAGACGTCGGGCGTCACATATATAAAGTCACCGCGACCTGACTTGTTGTCATAACGCCATGCGACATCAGGACAACACCAAGACGTCAACGTCATCATCGACGTTGACAGCGTGTGTTACACGACATCAAGACTGCATTCTCAAGTCATTGCATCGACAATGACGACGACGTCAATGGTGACGTTGATGACAACGATGACAACGTCGTGGGACATCAAGACGATGGCGTCCTTGTCAATCAAACGTCATAAGGACGCTTGGGGTCAGTTCGTTGACGTCGTCGTCGACAGGACGCAACTCGACGTCACGAAGACGTCATCGTCGACGACATTGCATGACGTCAAGACTTTGTCGTGACTGCGCGTCGACATTGATGCTGGCGAAGGCGACGACGTTTCACACCGTCAAGGCTTCGTCGTGACGTTGACGTTCACGATAAAGTCAAAACGATGTTAACGTGATGTCATAGTGATGTTTGACGTTGCATGGGGCATCCACGACAACGTTGGCATCGACGACCACATCCTCGATGTGGCGCGCAATGCCATGACTGCGTTACAACGGCGACTTGATGTCGCGTAATGGCGTCCTCAACGCGACGCAATGTCACGACTGCGTCACAACAGCGACTTGATGTTGCGTAACGGCGTCGTCCTCGATGCAACGTCACGACCGCGTTACAACGGCGACTTGATGTCGCCAAATGGCGTCGTCCTCGACGCGACGCGATGTCACGACGGCCTTACGACAGTATCTTGGCGTCGTCTAACGTCGTCAGCGATGACGTGGCGTCGTCGTGTCGTGGTGCTCTGACGTTACCTCTGACGTCAAAGTCATAAAAAATACAATATAGCCCCTAAGGGGATATATTGCCCATGTGACCTTGACTTGTGTCGTTGCTTGAACGCAGTGAAGGTGGCGCTGCGATCAAAGTTGCTTGGTTCCATCTGATCGCTTTCCACATTTTGAGGTGCGACTGAATGCTTGAGCGGAGCCTGTAACTCGTTCCACTCGTACCTTCTAGTACACTAACGCTGTCAAAGCTACGGGTGGCTTCATCTATGGTTTTGTTTGTGCGAGAACGCGTTCAAATGATCATCGACATCAAGCCGCATGCTCGCGCCAGTAGCTTTGACAGCGTGGCACACTAAGTATGAAACAGAGTATAATCAGTATAATAATGCCAAGGAAGGCTGACTCACGCTGGCTGCCGTGCCCCCCCCCCCCCCCCCCCCCCCCCCCCTCTCTTTTTTAACCTGTTACTACCATTGGGGGAGTTTTCTGTGAATATCCGCGGACGCATTTTTTCCCAGATCTTGGCTCATAACAGCTTCACTGTAAAAGATTTATACTTTGCTAGTTTTTGGAAACTGCAGGACACTATGGCCAGACAGCAGCATGAAGCGGAGTGTGGCGGCTTCCGCACTGTGTATGGCAACACTGGATTTGCTCAAATGTCATGGCGGCCTCCATGTAAAATTTTCCGGCGTGATCGTTGTGCTGCGAGCATGTTTCTTTAAACGCGCCTTAAAGGCAGTGAGTTTTAGTCGAATGGTGTGCCCACGCACCACGATGTTGTTGAGACGTTTTGTGAAGCTTTCGAGGCACCTGAGCAGCAGGGCGAACGTGGAGAACTTCGCCCGCTGCTCTCGCCTGTTCCAGCCGAATTCGTTCACGAAACTTGATGCCAAGCAAGGGCTCTGCAAAAGCCAGAAGGTATGACTTAATTTCTACTAATTATCACAGAGTCTTATAAAGAGACAGGGTACCTGTAACGCGACGTTTAATTAATGTTAGAAAAATATAGTCTGGCTGTGCTCGGATACGTTTCTCTCGGATCTTTGATACAAGTTCGTAAAAGTCGGTCAGACAGTTTGTCAAGAGACAAACTGTGTGATCGTGCGTACAGCCCCTTCCGGTCGAGGTGCACGACGTCGTGCGTATAGCCGTAGTATTGTTTATTTGTCTGGCTGTTTGCGTGTTTTGTTTAACTTCACACTGTTATCCAACAGGGTAGGAATGTAGCAAGCAAAGCAAGCATCAAACCGATGTATTGAGAGGGAAACAGAAATCTTGTCCTCGTCTTATTTTATTTCCCCACATATAGACCTTTCCAGCGGCAGTCTTGAGCGAAGCGATTTACAGCGCGCGACCCTGGTTTTGAGTGTGCATCAAAGTTGCCTGACCGCGCTGGGCTGTGGGTTTTCTTGTCAATGGGCTGCGACAGCCGGCATAGGCGCAATTCCGGACACTGGCGGTGTTTGCAGTGCCACGTTTTGCAGCTGTTGAGGGCTAATTTCCCAGTTTCGTGTCCGGTACCAGACAAATGTCGACACAAAACTACACAAAACTCTGGACAGCTACCACCATCTGTGAGCGACGGCGGCAACCGGTCAACCAATCTGGTTGTCACCGTCGCTCATAGATGGCGGCAACCTTTCCAGCCTTTCCGTCAAGGTGCGCATGGTCAGGTGGTCGCCGTTGTGTACATCTTCCCCGCGACGCCCAAGAGAGACATTGAAGCATTCATGATGGACGTCTTCGGCTGGGTCACGCTCGGCGACGACACGGACACGGACAGCAGAGAGGCCATCACTAGGCTTGGGCTCACAGCCTGTCAGGGCTCCCTCTGCCAGCACATTAAGACCCTATGCGCTGAACAGCACTCCACCCACAACATAGAGGTGCGGGTAAATTGGGTACCGGGACACGCGGGCGGCCGAGGCAATGAGGCTGCTCATGCGTGTGCGAGCATGCAGTCAAGTATCCGCTCCGACCCGGATATTTCGGTCCTACCTGCACTACTTGACCCCGATCCCTGGGGAAAAAAAGGCCGCAGCCAAGAAAGTGGATCGCCTTAGTCTCAAGGAGCAGACCCCAGCCAACCCTTCACTCCTACTGAGAGGTCTGCCAAGAGGTGCACAAGTGCTCATTCATAAGGCATGCACTAGGGCCGCTTTCACTGAACACATCCTGGCCCGATGGAGAACCTACACCCCCAAGAGAGGGCGCCCGCCTGCTACAGAATACCCAGGCGGTACACCCACTTCACGCATGAGTTCCCACTCCGAGTCGGCGCAGTCAACCGAGGCTCCCAGCCCGGCGGTGACCTGCTCTAAATGTTCTGCAGGCATTCTCCCTACGGTCCGACATCTACTGTGGGAGTGTGTAATGCTCCAAACTGAACGGAGTTGTTTTCTAGTCCCCATTGTGCGTGCCTACGAGGACTGGATTAACCCCAAGAGTAGTGCCGGCGCGAAAGAGACGCTGCTGTCCCTCTGGGACTTTGCGCGCGACGGGCATTGACTGAAGGTTATAACCTTAATTTTCGTTTTCTTTGATCCTCCACTGTAAACCGTCCCCTCCAGGCCGTCGTGCCATCCTTATCTTAATAAAGTGTAACAACAACAGTTAAAGAATATAGAAAGCAAACACTTGACACTTGGCATCTTCATAGATTTTAGCAAGGCTTTTGATTGCCTGAATCACAAAATAGTTCTTGACAAACTAATCAGGTATGGTATACATTGTTCATCACTTTCTTTTTTGTGTTCTTACTTAAATGAACGCGAGCAATATGTAATCATCGACGGTAAATTTTCATCGCTGTTACAGATAAAGTGTGGCATGCTACAAGGTAGCATTTTGAGTCCGTAGCTCGTTAATATCTATAATAATCTTGTGAACACTACTGAAAATGTATTTTTTTGTCTTGTATGCCCATGACACTGTTCCTCAGTGACGCAGATGCAAATGACCTAATAACCAAGGGAAATTTGATATTGTCTAGATTCTTTTTGTGGTTGCAAACAAATGGTCTATATCAGGGGACTTGAGTGTCGGGGTCAGATATCCCACTTCTGAAAGGCTGAGGGCCGACGTAAGGAGAGGGGGTCAGTTAGAATATTTTATTGAAGGGACCATGTTCTCTGCTTTTTGTAAACTCGCAGTTTGGCAGTGACATCTTTAGCTTTAATTTGTTTATGGGACCGACTGTGTGCCCTTACCTGATATAATAACACAAATTAAAATGGCACCACTCCGCCAACGTGCTGCCCTTTTTAATAAAACAAGAGAGCTATCGTTCCCGTTGCTCACTTCACTTGGAAATTGTTCCAACTCAACGTGTGTTCCCCCCCCCCCCCCCCCTTCCCCCCCCTCAAAAATTTTTTTTTTTTTTTCATAAAACAGTTTTTGCTTTATTAACAGTTTGTATAGCAGCAATTAACAACAAGAACAAAAACTTGCGTTTTATTGGGGATACTTTTTGAACATGAGAATCTCGAACACGTAGGTTTATTTTTGGCAGATTTTCCTGCTGAGCGAAAGGATGTGCAGCCAATGTCCGTCCTTGAGTGAAGAAAGCGGGGACGCAAAAATTAATATGAAAACAAAATAATATAAACTATGTGATATTTTATAAGAGCAGAGCTACAGATCGAGCAGAAACAAATTGGCGACATGAGATTGTTATGGCACATGCCATTTCTAGCGCTCAAGACATGCAAACGGGTGCTCGCAGCCGGTCGCCTGCGAGCCGCATCCCAGCGAGTCGCGGGCTGCATGTTTGAGATCCCTGGTCTGTATGTTAATAAAACAAAAACAAAGGCAATTCAATTAAAATCATTCAATAAACGTGTACATATACATAAAAAAAAACTGTTCCCAATTCATTTCGATATAATCAGTAAAAGAACATAAAACATTAGGCATTATATTATCAGAAATTCTACTGTGGGATCAACACGTAAACCAGATCGTCAGCAAATTATGTAAAATTGTGGGTGTGTTTGCTCATTGTTGGGTCATTCTCCGCAAAAATATAAACCTACAAGTATATCATGCATTATTTAAATACCACATATCTTGTTGCCATCTTGTTTTGGGTACGACCACGAAAACAATTCTTAACAAAACATTATTACTTACAAAAAGAAAGTTTTGTGTTTTATTGAAAACTTTAATTTCTTGGCCCGCACAAAAACCCTGTTTTTACGATACAAAATAAAAAATATACATCTATTTTATGACTACCTTTTGACTCGGCCATTTCGTTTCTCATCCCCTGAATTCATTAGCTTTCCTAAGCAGACATCAGGATTAAATAAAAATGTGCTCGCATCTGCACCCGCTGCCCCAAGGAATGGAAAGCGTTTCGATTTCGCACAAACTACAGTTCACAGTTTTAATCTACCCTCATTGCTCAAAAATTCACAGCGTCTCTTACGTTATCCCTAAGATGTTTGGGGGCGAAATCCCAAGCGCCGATGCATTAGAGAAAGACACTTGATTTACTTTAATTCAATTCAGTTAAATTCCTCTTAATTTGCTTTGTCATCCTTCTTAATTTCATTGCCTCTGGTTCGCCTGAGTGGTCACGCAAACGTTTTGGTACCTTTCGTGTCGCGGACGTGTTTTTGCTCAAGGACTTTGAAGGTCAACTGAACGATGAGACCATATAAGGCTTTCGCGTTAATAAATATTGCATAGATGACATGGACATTTACTCTATGAATCTTAAATCATCGTATCTACTTTTTGTATAGTATGTGATGTAAACCTGTAAAAGCTTGACCTTTTTCATGTATGTATTTATTTTGTTGCTGAAATCTCTGTAGTTATTTTTGTATAACTGTAGCTGTCCTCAAAGTGCGCGGGGCACAGACCCCGTCAAGTCAACACTCATTCAAAGTCTGTAACCTGTACAGATGCAAAAAGAAAAAACATATTATTATTATTGTTATTATTATTATTATTACTGACTGCTGACGAGTTACTGTGGGCTCGGGTCAGGGTTAAGAACTGTGTTCATAGCCTTCAATACACTACTTCTGAAAATCTCTGCACGCAACACTGCGTTTGGCCATGGAGAAGAGTGGCATGGTTCCGGTTTCGATTGTCGACTGCCCATTGACAAATTAGTGCATCTCAGTGCTGCCTGAAAATAAAGTTAACGCTCTCTTGCATTGCGCCCGTTCATCTTCCTGAGAGTTGAAAAATGGAACTCTAGTAGCCGTAATGACCTACCTGCCTAGGCTTAGCGAGGAGTAGGAGTATGGCCGGCCGCGTCTCATACCTATCTGGCCCTCCCAGCATGGCCCTCCCGGCTTTTGAGGAGACAGTGGAACAGGATGGACCGATTCAGTATACTTCTTCCATGTGTTACTGTAGTCCTGTGCTTACCTGTGCACAAACATTGGCACGTCGGGAGCCCAAACGTGCCCCTCAACACTACACAGCATTCTATTCATATTGGTAGGCAACACCGACAGTACTAGAAATTTAAGAAAAGTCACATATTCGAAAATGGGAGCATCGTATTTGATTGTGACAGGACGTCTTGAAGCGAGTTTGGAAAATCGAAGCCGAAACCTAATGGTCAATGGGTTCCCAAGATGCCTTGCGTGGCACTACGCCGCTAGGATCGCTTCGATTTTCCGAGAGGTCTATTTAGGGGGAGGGAAGATGCCAGTGCCCACCTTGGAAGTATGCTATTGCTCTCAACGTTGCTAGTTTTATAGCTTTGCGTAACTTCTTTTTCAGTTGATGCTGGACTACGGTCTTATAAGTCCCTCCGGTACTGGAACGTTCGTGCTCCTACCCCTCGCCACCAAATCTTTGGAACGCCTCGTCGACCTGATTGACTCGGAATTGCAGAGTGTCGGTGGCCAGAAAATTCTGCTGCCTTGCCTAGTGCCTGGATCCCTTTTCAAAAAAACAGGTAAGTGTCATTGTGCGCCGGCAGCCGTAATCTATTTCATTACATCGGTAGGTTAATGGGCTTAGCCTGTCTGCAGCTGCCTTACACTCCTCAAGTGAATAAATAAGCAAACAAAGGGTCTGTCTTTTGCTGACCACTAAGGAAACATCAGGAGCAGGAGTTGTCCTTTTTCAGAGCTTCAGTTTGGCATGGAAATGCAGTGGTATTAAACATTTGAATGTTTCATGTAAAAGCAGAGTTGTATAAGGCAGTGATGATAATGCAATTGATGCAAAGGCCCAGGACACAGCTGAGCTGGCTGTGTCCTGGGCCCTCCCGGCTCCCAAAATTTCCCCCTGAAGTTGTACTTCTCGCAAAATCAAGATGTTGCCTTGAAGTCTTGTGTATCACATCAAATCGTATGTTTACGCTATTAAAATGCTTTCTGTAAGAAAGAGACAACAACCGTTAATTGAGGAGGAGGTTTTCAACTTATGATTCTTACTTTGTGATCATTTGCTTAAATTTCTTGAGTGAACACTTTTGTTGTATGCTTTTATCTTCACGAAACATGAGGTATGGTAAAACCCTTGAAGGCGACATGTTCTGAAGTTTCTGGTAGGGGTCGCGTTTTCTTACTGCTTGATCGTCTTCTGCTCCAGGTAGGTGGGAGGACATGGGAGATGAACTCTTTAAGTTGAAGGACCGTCGGGACCATGACTATTGTTTGGGGCCCGTAAGTATTTTTATCCACTTATGTATTGTGGAAATACAATGTGCCGAAAAGCATACGACTTTTACAAGCTACCTACTGTAGGCCTTAATATCTTCATGGTTTTCTAGGATACAGAAAAACAGAACTTGTGGCATCCCAGTAATCAAAGTGTTTAAGAAAATAATATTCTTCAATATATTGCACCTTTTTGTTATCGATAAGCTAAGCATTTTTCTTTTGCGTAATTGCAGTTGATATACTGCTTATTGTGGTGCTGAGCCAACCTACTGTTAAAATTCAGCTAGTACCTTATTCTTTTTCTCTGTGCCACCTTAATTACGATCTAGCTGTCCTGGGGGTATAAAACAAGGAAGTAAGTTGAGCATTATTGTTGTGTGATTGTTATTTCTTTCATCGCTAATCTTTATACCTCTGTAACGTCGTTTCCCACTCCTCGCGTTGCAGACCCACGAGGAAGCGGTGTCTCAGTTGCTTGCGTCTCTCCCGTCGCTGTCGCTCCGTTGCTTGCCCATTCTTCTGTATCAGGTCAGTGCACCCAGCTTACAGGGTGACTCAAAGTGTGTCGTCCTTTCCTCATTTTCTATCTTCGAAATTAGTTTGGAATCTAGTACTACAGCATAACGTCCGACAGTGGCCTTGAACCTCTCAATCTCAAGGCACATCTGCCTCCAACGAGAGCCAAAGAACACTGCGGCTTTTTCAGCACCATTGCAGCAAAGCAGTTTTGAAGTGTCCTTAGGACTCTCAAAGATTTGTGTTGAGAGTTGGGCACCAATCTATAGTATTTCAACTACAATAGCTTTAGGTTTGCTGGGCCTATTATGACGATATACTGCCAATGAGAACAATCAGCAATGCTGGCAGGGATGTTGCAAAAGCATTGTTTATCCTTGTGGCATCTTTACAAAAGTTCGTCTCTTTCTGTGAGTGTACCTGTGAGTCTAGATCAGGGGCGGCCAAGCTGACCCGGTCTAAGAACCGCAAACAAAACCATGAAACTTCCAAGAGCCGCAGGGGGGGGGAGGAGCAAACTTGTCCAGAGCAATAAACGAAACTCGGACTACTTTCATTCAATCTGACTCAAAAGCAGTCCAACTGTACGTAAGGTAGCAGTAGCACAAGACTACCAAACCGCAACCTGTCTTTCGATTTAAAACGCGTTCCACTTTTCTTTTTGGGGTTTTGGGGGAAGTGCTCGTGTATTCGGGAGGGGAGCGGGGAAGTGGGGGAAAGGAGGGGGGGGGGGGGGGGAGAGAGCCGCAAGCCGCACTTTAACACACGAAGAGCCGCATGCGGCTCGCGAGCCGCAGCTTGGCCACCCCTGGTCTAGATCAATTTAGGACCCTTAGCATTACATTGTAGTATGTGAGCATCATTTAAGAATAATTTCGTTTACGTCAGATCAGCCCCAAGTTCCGTGACGAGGGCCGTCCGAAGTTTGGTCTCCTTCGTGGCAGGGAGTTCATAATGAAAGGCAAGCCTCCTCCAAGCAACATAACAATAAACATTTTGTAGGGGTGTGCAGATATTGAAATTTTCGAATACAAATCAAATAAGAATATTAAAAAAAAATAGCTTTGAATATGGAACATGTTTCGAATATAAATGTGCCTCTAACAAATGATAAAAAAAATGCAAGTACTTTTCTTATTACCTTCAAAACCAAAAACAATGCAACTGGTAACACTCCTTGATTAGTAATCACCTGTCAACTGTGCATCAAAGTAGACAAGAGGTGCAACTGATTAGTAATACAAATTGACAAAATTAAGAGTGTGCAAAACTGCACACATCTAGATAGCATGTAAAAATCCAGCCTGTGTCACACAAACAACTGGTGGTAGTGACCGTTTTTTTATAAATATAATTGAAATTTCTCTTGACTACCCAGCATGTTGGATATCAGCTACTAAAGCAATTGTTGCAAATTATCATGCAAGAAAATTAATTGCTGCACTTGTTCAGTATATAAGCGGTCCCTTTTTGCAGCGACAACTTCTCTTGCAGCAGAAAATACCCTTGCTCCTGCAGCAGAAATTATAGAGTCTCTAGAAAAGTTACTCACAATGCAGGCTTGGCAAAACAAAATCCAAAGCTACTCTTTTGTTTTGAGCTAATGCATACCTGTTTGCACAATTCTAATGCCTCTTTTTTTTCCCCCAAAAAATCGGTGCCCAAAAATACATGCGCGTTACAATCGTAACCAAGAACCGAAACTTAAAAGAAAAACGCAATACTCGGTATAAAGTGACTAGCTCCATCGCCATCATGACCGTTTGTTTACAATTGCCATTTTGGTACCCATATCACGCAAATGGACCTTTTTCCAGTAAGTTTCAGCACATGCGCACACCCTCTGCCCTGGCCTTGCTTCCCGCTGTCTCCATTTTCGCAGGGCACCATCCCGCACGACCAACATTGTCAGCACCTATCTTTCCGTGTATTTCGTCATTTTTTGACGATTCTTTTTCTGGGTATCAGTAGCATGGTGCATAAAGAGCAATGCTCACCGATAGAACGGCACAATGTCAATATGTTTTGACGAACGGAGTCCTATTGGGCTGCCCTTTAATTGTAATTCACAGACAAACTACCACCCGGCACTCGTTACTTGAAAAAGGTTCATTCTCTTGTGTCTACAAACTGGTGTCTGCTGTTAAGGTGGAAAAGCAAAAGACATTCTACTAGGAGGTTTTATTTAAACTAAAGGGCATCACGCTCGCAGGTAAAGTTAACGGGGTAGCACTGTGTGACCTCCCAATCCCAGCGACCCGACGAGCCCGCAAAGTGTTTGGAAGACGACCCTCCCAGAGGTTATGGTCCTGCACTCGTACAAGCACAAGAAGCGCAGCACCTAAAACGCTTTAGACGAAAGCAAGTATTACCTTTGTGGAGAGCAAAGAACCATTGTTGGACTCCGACAACGGCGGCTAATGCATGGTATTTGTTTTTGTGTTGGCGTGCGTTTCATAAAATCCGTTTTATGAAGTGAGCTATGTATTCAACCTTCATTATTTCACCTGTGCGGTAGAATCGGCAGCAATTTACTTTTTGAATATCTGGGAGCTGCCTGCGTGTTACATTTGGGTGCGGGTTAGAATTGTGCAAACACGGTAGTTCTACGTATAACGTAAACGGCAAGGGTTTATAAGAAAATGGCTACAATACCTGCAATTTAGTCGACTGAGCACGGCTTTTCAGAAAGCTCTGAATGATCAGGGCATGTCCCGCGCGCGAATTATTTGCTATTTGCTTGGAATATTCGGCCATAACCGAATATTTGGAAATTTTCAAATATGCAATTCTCGAATCGAATACAAATCGAATAAGAAAAATATTCTAGTCATATTCGAAATTTCAAATATTTGCACGCCCCTAACCTTTTGTCTGGGGGTGGAGGGGGGAGGTTGTCACACTACCGCCGGTGTATGGCTCCTGGTTTTGTGGCAACGTGTGGCACACTCTTTGCAGATATGTATAGCTTCGACAGAAGTGCTGAAAGCGCGGCAGAGACGTACGACATTGTCTGCACTGCGTACAGCCGGATCCTCGAGCGCCTTGGAGTGCCGTTTGTGAAAGGTGGGATTCTGTTGTCTTCAGCACATTCATGTCTTAGGTAGCAGTTGTGCAGAGCGGGCGACGACACATTTAACCTGTGCCAGACTGCCCTCGTCTGTCTTTGTCAAAAAGGCTTTTGTATCTTGAATATATTTATGCCAACACGCTCAAAAACCTCCTCGAACCTGTGGGTGCCCATTTTTTATTTATTCATCTTGCGTGTGGCACTAACTGGGGTGGTTAAGTTTAACATTCTACACTGATCTGTCTGAATTAATTGCAACGAAGTGCCAATGTGATGTCTATGCTAATCATGTTATGCTGTGTATCTGTTGTACAGATGGGCATAGGGTAAACATGTTTGTTTAGAGTCAATGAGAAAAGGCAGTGCACTCGCTTTCTTCTGTGGAATTTGTGACTCTTCATTTGATCTGTTTTGGAGCTTTTGGATGTTAGCATTATTCAACTTCGACTTTGATCTTGCACTTCCCCAAAAGCTGGATGGCCTAGCTGAACTCCTATTTTAAGAAAGGTGAAAGATTCTTTGCAGGAAGAAAAGTTGTTTACGTGGTGTTCGTTTTTCTGGAACTTGCTACAATATGACATCTGCTTGAGAGAAGCTTCATTTAATACTTTTTGTTGTGCAGTCAAGGCGTCTTCAGGCGCTATGGGTGGAAACTATTCGCATGAATTCCACTTTCTGAGCAACATTGGAGAGGATCGCCTTTTTGTCTGCCCAAAGTAAGTTCTAAGCTTCAGGCTTGGGGTGTTCTTTTTTCTTCTTTTTTTTAGCAATCTACATTAGAATGTGGCATTGCTGCTGTGCTTGGTGACTGTTCTACACTGTGCCTTTGTGGTACAAATATGCCGCCTCCAGGTTTTTGAAGAAGCTCCAAATCTTTATTTTTATTCGCAGGTGTCATATTGGTGTAAGCGCCGACAAAGTTGAATCAGGTGAAGGTTTCTGCTTTTTTGGTTGCTAGTACTTTGAGTGACTATAACAATTTATAAAAAGTTTTCATTTAATTTGTGGTCTTGTGGAATGACTCATAATGTTTTTTTTCCTAAGAACTTCCTTGCAAAAACTGATTGTTTTTTCCCTGGTTTTATTGCAGAGACAGAGAATCAACCCTGTGATCAGTGCAGCACTCCCCTCGAGGAAGAAAGGGGTGTGGAGGTACATTCTTTGTTCTTTTTTTACTTGTTATCGCATTGTTGGACTTTAGTAGCACGACTGTACTGCTGGTAATTCATCTCGTACATCTGATCCTTGTATTGTGTCTTCCGTTTAAAAGTAGAAATTCTGCCCACTGCAGACTATACAGGTGCGGACTGTACAAGGATTTGTTTTTCTTCTAGATCGTTCACTGTGACAAAACCTGAAGGATTTTATGAGTACCAGAGTATATTAATGTTGATTTATGGATGATAAAACCCTTGTGAGCTAATACAGCTGACATTTGTCAAGGCGTAATTTATACAATAATTTTTACGTTTGAATTAGGCACTAAGTGCAGACTATGCAGCAGGTGTGGACTATCTAAGCAAAAGCTCTTATTTTTGACCCCAAATGTGTCCCTGCAGACTATGCACCAGCTGCGTACGATGGTCCAGAAAATGGGGTAGTTACGGTTGATGCAGCTGTCACCAGACTACGCTCGAAACGTTGGCGGCACGACTGTCGCCAATTGTTGCGCTCTCACAGGACGACGTGTCTACAAAGCGGAGCTGGCAAAATTTGTGTGCATAACCGTAACTGTTGCTCATGCTTGCTTCTTCACAAGGTTGCCCACGCATTCTCCCTGGGGACTGTTTACTCCGATCCACTCAAGGCAAGCTTCATGGACTCTGACGGGAAGAATAAGTAAGTGGTTGTTGACACTCCTGTTTTTGTGCAAGTCCTTGCGAAAAACGCACTGGCAGCTGGGAATGTTCTAAGCCACGGACCAATGGAGACACGGGGTTTTGGCCATTGTTCTAGTTTTGTACTTTAACACCCATTGGCTACTACGCGTGTCGTGTGCTGCCGGGCCGTCTGTACCGCAAATTCTTTTCCGCTAAAACAGGGCAATAAGTTTGTACAGTAAAACTCTGTGCAGGAAACAAGAAAACTTTTTTATTTACATGCTTAACTGGTTTGTTCCAGTCTACAAATCACTAGGCCCTCACAGAACCTTTCTTGTATGAAAGATCTTGAAGCACTCCATTCTCGGTCGCTTAGGCATCGCAAAACCAGGGCTATCTTGCTGTGATTCTGACTCGTAACTGCTGTCGGAATCGCTCCCGTTGCCGACAGAAGGCTCTGAAAACTCACTATCCTCACCGGACATCCTGTCATCATCTGTGTCAAAGAGGTGTCTATGTTTTCATCGTCGGAAAGGCCACGCTGTATACTGGACTCTGCCATCTTCTCCAAGTAGACAACGATCGAGTGGGAAGGACGACTCACAAAAGAACAAGCTCAAACAAACACAGCGAACAGTATGACTCTCGTCATCTGTTGGCAGTGTATCTAACTACACTACCCCAAGTCTACATAGTGCATCATCTTTGAATGGCTTTTTAAAACATATGTATGCAGCCCGGCGAATCGCCGGTTTTGGCAATATGGCCCCTGACGGCACGCCCAGCGATTCGCCGGATTCGGTAGCGAATGGGTTAAATCCCCTAATTTTTTTAATTTTGTTTGGCAAAGTTGAAGGGTCTGTAAAGAATAAACGTCCTGCTTGCAGGCCCGCATTCCAGTCTCGGGAATTTCAGAAGTTTAGTGGCCATGAACATGTCACCTCTGCCTTGCTAGAAAAAAAATTGTGGCCTAGAAAATTATGGGTTTTTACTCCTTTTCTGCATTTATCGTGAGTTTAAAGCCTGGCTGTAGTTGTCACAGAAGTCGATTGCAGCCAAACTTTGGTTTTAGAATTATGTTTCTGTCAATCAAAATGGGGCAAGAAATGTGTACTCCAGTTTGCATTGAAATTTAAAATTTGTTTCATGTGCTAGAACTGCTGTATGTGTCAATTCAAACATCACTAGTGCATTGTGCATTTCAAGACCCCAAGTTAGCTATCACACTTCACTAGCAGTACTATAAATAGCAATAGCTGGTCGCCTTCTTTCAGGGCAGACTTAAACTTCTTCCTGCCCTTTGACCTTTGGCTCAGCATGGAAGCTCTGGAACCTCATTTTAAAGTCTTCAACCTGCATCACTACCTTTGTGCTTCGCTCCAAAAACATACCCATTACTGCCTCATTCTTTGACGTTCGTTTTCCCAAGCCGACAGAGAACGATAACCCTGCTCCCGCAATACTTGCCTTTTGTTCTAAGTTTTCCTTACTCATGGTCACCTGTTTCTTTTCATGGGCAGTCGCCAACCGATTTTTCTAACTTTGCGGGGACAGTAAAAACGTCAGAATAATAGAGCCGTTCGAAAAATCAGCAGATTAAAAAAAAACTTACCTTTATTACGTCTAAGCGGGCTTAGAAAAGCCGTCAATAGTGACTTGCTTCAGGTTACTCCTCCGCTTGCGTTCGGTCACTTTCTATTACCTTGAGAACCGCTGCCTTCTTTTCTAGCATTATGGTTGAGTACTTTCCGCGCTTCTTAGCGACACTTCGCGGCGGCGACAGACCAGATGAGGCCCTGACGTCCAAGCCAGCGTAGTCTGAAAACACAATTCACGGAGACAAGATGAGAGGCGCAAGTCCACGACTGCAGATTGGCGAATTAACAAAGCAAAATGGTAAGAATGATGATGATAATCACGTGCAGCTAGAGAGAAGAAAAAAAAGCCGTAGCATAGTGTCGCCTAGCGGTAGGATTTGGCAGTACTCGAGTGGCACTGCCAAACCAAACCAACCCATGTGCAGCCAACATAGAATCTAAAATGGCGGCTTTTCAGTGGTGTCTCCCGCCAAACGTTCGCAACGCTTCTGTCCAAAAAATTGAACTTTCAGACTGTTTTTTTAAAACATCGGTTGTGAATACGCACTCTTCCTATCGGGTAGGTCACTGTTCCTCCTTTAGGTCTAAAAATCGAACAAATCCGAATTATCGGCGTGCGGAAAATCGGTCGGTAACTTATTTTCCAAGTCATCAGCATTCTCAACTTAATATTTGAGAATATATAGTCATAAGGAGCTTAGTTGCTGCCCTTGAAGAAACGCCAGTGAAAATTGGGTTGGGGGTCCTTTTGCAAAGGGACGGTCGATGACAGAGTGCATTGACGCACTGAACTTGCAGCACATAGCGCGAAAGCTCGCACTACAGAACCCAGGGGTGCTGGGTTCAATCTCCACCCCTGCCCGTCTCAATCTCGATGAACATCTTACGGGCATGCGGTCATGTGTCACTGCTGTGCAGAGCACATTAAAGATCCCAGTCAAGCAGCAGTACTGCTCTGGCTAAATTTATTGTTTAGAGCAGAAACACCAGACGCACATAGGGGCTGCCTAACTTCCCGCCGTCTGAGCACACACAAAGCACTATTGCTTCTACTTTTGCAGAGCACTGGTGATGAACTGCTTCGGAATCGGAGTGACTAGGTTGTTGGCCGCATCTCTCGAAGTACTCTCGACGCAGTCCGAGCTGCGATGGCCATTGGCGATTGCTCCCTTCAAGGTGGCGGTGGTCACTCCTAAGGCAAGTGTCTGGTGATAGTAGACATTCGTACGCCGCTCGACAGCTCAAAAACCCCGACGTTTCTTCTGTGGGCCTGTACAAAGATTACGCTAAACCTGCCATACTCCATTTCTCCTTGCGGCGGATCGCAGTGGGAGCTACGAGTCATCCTAGCCAATTCACTGCCCGCTGTAAACATGTCATATGATTACACCCCCCCCCCTTCTCCCCCCCGCACGTCGGTGTGCCCCTTCCCTAAGGTCACACAACACTCGCGTGGCTTTGGATTTCTCGTAGAGTCCTCTGCAGTTCATCGTAAGGTAGGTGGCGTGGTTGCGACATTTTGGTCATCGTGCTTTCTGGGAGCTGCAGTTACGATGGGCACGAGCTGTAGGTAACAAACCATGGGCACTTCGTTTAGCCGTGAAAGTGTAAGAGCATGCTTTAGAAATTAGATACTCTTATGGCGCGTTCACACTGGAAACGGATCCGCAGCCGCCAAGCGGTTGAAAATGCTCGGATCCACTTGGCGGCTGCGGCATTTTCAACCGCTTTGGGATCGATTTCTCTGAACCGCTTTTGTAAACCGCAAAGTAGCAACCATTTGCAATGCGACGCTGACATAACGTTGGTAGCTTTCAAAACAAAATTGTGTCTGTCGCTGATGAGGCGTCCAAGGCGCTGTAGTCCTAATGTTGCAGCAGACAACTCCATGAAGAAACAATATGATCACATCCGTCACTTGAATCTGTCGCCAAAATAATTGAATAGTAATTTTAATGCGCTTCGCTTCAGTGGTTTTGTTCAGGTAAGCTAGTTTATTATTTGGGGTGCTAAAGCTCGTCGCTGCACTGCCTTGATAGTCTTTGACCATAGAACCTCATACTCCCCTCCCACCCAATTGACTGAAATGATAGCTCTTGTACCCACTAAGGCAATCGTGTGAACTACTATAGCTTTCGGCGCCGTGCTTGACCGGCAGAAAAATTTATAGAGACGTCGTGAGCTTAATTGCATAGCCAACACACTATGGTGGAGCTGGCACGTTCATGCGATAGCTCTACCTGTAACGTTTCTGCTACCAAAAGGAATGAAGGGATCCTATTCAAGAAACAAAGTGTATGTACCAGACGATGCATAGGTAATTCATGTGGCATTCATTTGAGCTTAATGTCAAAACATACCTCGGACTCGATCGACGCTTGAGTGACGAGAGGAAAGTCCGCCACCAATGAAGCCACGACCGGCTGCTGAACACATTCCCTGCACCACGGTCCACCAGTGACGCTCACTACTCCGAAAGTGGAGCAAACAACGCGGGGAGAAAGCTGGCTCATATCCCCAGAACAAAGTCAGCTATTTATGCGGGAAGGGTCCACTTTGAAGAAAGGGTCGGGGGCATGCTATTCTGAGTCACCAAGGTGCGCCTAGCAATTTTGGGCTCCGCGCATGCGCAGTGTGGAACGCGCAACGTTAACGCAAACACGCAGTGCTTGCCTTCGCTCGTATACGCAATACTAAACCTTGCTACTGTTTCACCGGTTTTCCAACGCGAACGAAACATGCTGCAGTGAGCAGACGTGCAAGCAGGGAGGCGATCCTTCGAACTGGAAAACGTTCTAGGAAGTTTTGTAATTATAAAAGAACAATGGAATCTGTTTTTTGTATTTTGGGACATTTGTTCCGGAAGGATTGGCAACGAATTCGGAAGTCTTGCCGATTGCCAAAAAAGTGGGTGACTTTGATAGCACCATATGTTTGACCCACAATTAATGTCCTTTACATAGATTTCTCAGACTAGCTAGAATTTTTTCATTGATTTTATACTATTTTTATTTTATAACCTCTTGATTAAATATGCTGAAATTGGCACCAGTGATGATAATCCACCAACTTTGGGTTACCGTAGTTGTTTGCACAATTAAAATGAGATCATATGCAACAAATTACATTAGGGCTTGAAAAACTATGTATTAAATTTTCCTAATGTATTATCAATAATGCAAATTGCAGTAGTGTAGGCTGCCAATAAACACCGCAGTCACAAAAATATATCACTTAACCATAAGTGTCTTTACAGAAAAGTTTAATTTTGTTTTCTTTTTAGAATATGAAAAATTGTGACATTGCTATCAAGATAAACATAAACCCTGAATGGAATATAAAGTCCTATGCATTACGCGTTGCCTTAAGAAACATTACACACTTATTCCGCCCAACTTGGATTCCATTTTTTTTTTACTTTTTGTAGTGAGAACAGTTTTTCCTAATTTATGTTTTGTGAAAATATCCTGAACCCGTTACCCGTGGCAATATTTTGTAGAATTTGGATTGATTTTGTTTTTCTTTTGTACTGGGAATAGTGCTAAAGCAATTATTCATCTAAATGCACAAAGACCCACAGTTCATTATTTGACATGACAATTATTCGTGTGAGAAGAAGCATCAAGAACACACAAATATTAGCGCTGATTTTTTAATAAATAGCTCTAAGTATGAAAGACCCTGTCTTTAAAGGGTCACTGATCACTCCAAAATATTTTGAAGTGCCTAAACCAGAAACTTACGTCACAAAATAAACTTTCAGCTAACAATTTATTTAGCTCAAGAATTATGCTGCGAGACACATCTTGAGTTAGGTGAGAAACCAAAATTAACACTTATATCGAGAAATTAAGTCCGAGGTAGAAGTTGGTTTTAGTTTCGTTCACAAATCAAAAAGTGCCTTCTGGTGTAAATTTCATGCCAAACACCGTTTTGCTTTCAGGATAAAGAGGTGGTCCATGTGCATAACACCCTAACTTCCTTGTATACATGGGAATAATTTGAGTCACTCAATGAAGCCAGCTCACTAGGCAGGCTCAGCAACTGGTATACCAGCACACATCTCCGGCCCTCACTATATCCGCCATTTTGTAAAACGAGTGGCACCACCTATAGACAGTTGTAGTCGCGAATAAGCGACAGTTATTGAGACCGAAACTTCTGCCAACAGTCTGAGAAAGGATTGTGCGAGTTACCTGTTGTCCCCTACCCATATACCGTAAAATACAGAGCGAGCACACTCCCAAAAGTTGGAGACGACCTTAAAAAACTGGGAGACGGGCGACCGGTAAATCCGGAGAGCATACAATCACAAGCAACACGAGACGGAGTGGGCTTCACTGCTCAGCACTGGTGCACACGCGTCAAGCTTGATTGCAGTGCGCCGACGTGCTAGGTGAAGCATCCGTCGCGGAGCAGCAGCTCGGCAAGCTGGGTGTTCTCAAAAGTCTAGCGCAGGCACCCGATACGTCCTTTGATTATTTTATAGACCGACGCGCTGTTTACAAACAAGCCCGTGTTGGCCCTCACTGGTGTGGGCACTGCACGTGCGCAGAAACGGAATTCGCGAAATGTGAAGCGTCTACGCATGTGCAGCGCCGTCGACAGCGCCACCGCAGCTGCGTGACGTCAGGGCTGCGTGTTGGTCTATAAAGATCTATAAAGATTTCAAACGTAGCCAATCAGTGTTTGTTGGAGACAAGAAAATGCTCAGCGTTTTACGGCAAGTATGAGAAACTAATGTGTCTCGCTCACGCACCTTTTTTATTCCTCGCCGGCGAGCACTGTGCCGCCATTATAATCGGTGCGTCGACTTTTTGATCAATTTGTTGGGCATGAAATCTTCATTCTCTTGCTCGAACTTGGTCAGTGTTGCCCGTAAATCTTACACCGGTGCAGAAAAGTGTAGTTCGATCGAACGACCCTACTGACTGCCACATGTTCCGCCGTCCAATTCGATCTCGGAGCAGAAAGGGAGTCACGAAGAGGAGGTTGGGCTCCCCCTCAGCCTCCACCTGACCAGCTGCCTGAGCTCCCAGGACATTCTGGCGGGGGACGTCCTCCTGGACGACCGGGACTCCTGGACCATCGGCAAGAGGCTCAAGGACCTGGACCACATGGGCGTACCTTTCGTCGTCGTCGCCGGCAAACGGGTGGCACCCCCTGTCCCTCTTCCGGCGCTGTTTTAATGCAGGACGTGTTATACGATTGGCTCGAGCCACTTGCTGCGATGCGCTACTGGCGTCGCAGCAGCGCACCACGTGGCGTCAGCGTTTGACCGGGACTTCAAAACGGCCGTCTTCCAAGACCGCTTCATTTATAGAATTCTCGTATATTCCGAGATGCGAGTCTTCGAATTTGCCGCTCAATCCGGCTAATTATGAGATCGAGACGGCAAAGATTGGCGCAAAAGCCATTTGCGGTCCGATGCAGGTTGTTGCGCGCGACATTTCATAGTATGACGGGGCGCGTAGCTAGTTACAGTTCTTCGTCGGCTAGAAGTGAGAGAGGAACGGTTATTGACTCTGCCTCACATGGAGTGTCGCATGCAACGGCCTGCTTCGCACCTGGGAGGGCTTTTCGTGCTAATCTTTGCAGTTTTGAATGCATAGTTAACCGGATTGAGTGGGGAGTTTGGTGACCCATATCTCCGAACTCTGGCTAGTTAGAAATCTATAAAATGGAACTCTCTTGGAATATGGCTGCCTTTATGTTACCAGTATAAACATATGACTAAACTAATTAAAAAGTTTGTTAACGAATTTTAGTTAATTAGAAAATTGACAGCTATGACTATACTTGCTTAGTGTCTGCCCGAAAGCGTAACCTAGGGGCAAAAAGGGACTTTGCGACCCTTCCATAGTGCCTTTCTTAGAAATGCAGAACTTCATTTTGAGAGCTCTGTGTAGTTCCCTCAGTTGCAATGCTTTTGTGCCTTTCTTTCGCATCTCGCTTTTGTGTTTCACTTTTGTGTCTTACTTTGGCGCTTTACATAACTTACCTATTTCATGTTAAAAAGGTGACTTTTGTACTATTAATATATACCAGAGTTGTGAAGCCCTTTCTTTTTAATAATGTGGCCACATGGGTTACCTCAATGCTATCGGCAGCACTTGTTTGAATGGCAACTTTTTTCTTTTCTTTCCAGAGTGCAGAGGCTATGCCACTGTTTGAGCTTCACGACGTCTACCGAGGATCTGTGACGGAGGTGACGCAGTCGGAGTTGCTCCACTTCTTCCAGCATGGAAAGTTCAGAGAAAAAATCGGGGACCACCTGTAGATATAAATGTAGGAACCAGTAGAGACATTACGGAGGTTATGTGAATATACATTACTGTTTGAAGCGAAATTCCTAGACTGGGTCGCCACAGCGTGTTTCCTCAACTGTCCGAGGCAGTTTCTGGGGTCCAGGGGTGCTATGTTGCGCTTTTTGGACTCCCAGAAGACTAGGAAGAAGGAAGTGACGTCAACAACGCAGCAAATGCAGATTGGATGTTGATTTTGTTTTCTTCTGTCAACATCCAATCTGCGTTTGCTGTATTGTTGACGTCACTTCATTCTCCCTAGTCTCCTGGGAGTCCAAAACGTGCAACATAGCCCTCCAGAGCTGTGCCTTGCCACGCGACTTGCTGCCGTCAAGCGTATTCTCCCGCAGTGCGCCTGTGCACTGTACAAGAGCGAGCCTAGTCGCTGTATGTTCCCCGAGTACTGAAGGTCCCAAGCTTCATTTCAGAACCGAGTCGCGGTGCAGCGTTTGCAATCCCCAATATGGCGCTACCCTGTGCAATTAAAGCGAAGTGCGTACGGTGTAGCCGTTCATTCTCGTGCGAGCTCTTCAGTCCATGTTCCTGGCCTTTGGCGACACTAGTTTGTCTTTATTAAAGTTCTTTCCTTCGTTCTGAGCGGTGCGTGACTCGCTCCTCCCATCTCGTCTCTCGCTCGCCTGGAAACACATTGAAGTTGAACGTTAGGCTTAGCGTCCGAGGTGTAGAGTTTGAAACGCAGCACCAGCGCAACCAGGGCGAGCAAACGAGCCAGCTATCTTCTTTGGCAAACCAGATTAGCGGCTGCTTGATATAAAAAAGGAAATAAAAACGGAGAAAAAACACCTTTCGTTTAGTCTTAACATTGATGTCCAGCGCTCCCACCTGTGCGTACCCGCCGTAGCTGTAATAATTCGAAAACGAAGTGGTGGAACCGGTGGAACTGCTGCGTTTGGCGTTGTTGACATGACATTGTTGGCGATGCCACTAAAAATTAAAAAAAGTACAGTTTTTTTTTTGTTCTTCTATGCCTAAGTACTATGCGCAGATATTGGAATTTTCCAATAGTAGTTTCAAATAATATGTTATTTGATATTCGCTTCCAAATGAACTGCGATATTTGTGCTTTTCGAAGTGTTGATCGCGGCGGGCTAGCCCCCTTGAGTGCGCTTGTCCTCAAACACAGGTGCGCTACGGAGAAGCAATACCCGCGGAGCGGACACTGCAATCTTGCGACCCGCTTCGCCGCAGCGCAGCCGCGCGCTTAGGCGAAAAACACACCTTCAAATAACTAGTATGGTGCATGCACGCACCTAATGTACTAAAAAGAAAAAAGGGGAAATTTTGTGATTGTTCATATTACATTGTAGTAAAATCATCAAAATTTAACTGGCTTTTATGCAAATGTATATGTTCGGCAGCGATGTTCTAAAAACCTGTGTTCAATATATTTTTTTAAATTCAGAATTGAAGAAAATATTTTCATATAGGAAGATGACTTATAAATCCCCTCAATTAGGTAGGGCGGGGTCCTTTATAAATTTAATTTTATGTCAAATTTGTCAATTACTTGCCATTCCAACGTGGATACTGGATGTTCTGAGGCTACAGTTTATAAATATAGCTATATTAAATTTGACAGCTCATGAGTGGGCAGTTAGGAGCTTAGGAAAAACCTTCGCGAGTTCAGCTGAATTTTCGTTTAAGCATGGTGTAACAGTAGTAAAAGGCGTGGAAAAAGGTGCAACAACTCTTCAATATTCAATTAAAAAATATTCGGCCAAAACCACTATCCACGTTGAATTTGCTTTGTACCCAAAATCCATTATTTGTACATGCCCAACGAAGAGTTATTGGTTACATCTACAAAATTGCCGGCATATCATTGTTCAATAAATGAATATCTGTAGAGGCCAGGTCCCTTGTAGGCAGAACACTTTAGTCCCCCAACATTCCAACAACAGCAGTTTTTTCCACAAGCTAACTTTCAAAGAGATTGTATAAACTTTTCTGACATGAAAGCTCAAATTTGTCTGCTCCAAAAAGCCGTTTTTCCCTGCTACAAGAGCTGCTCCAAATCACCATTTGCCATTTCCACCACTGGAAACGTTTTATATACAGGCTTTTGTTGTTTTGGGCCGATCCACAAAATGGCCGACTGATAAATTTTTGCCACGGACGAAACCGGCCAATTGGAATTGGATTCTTGGGGGGATTGACTTCCGGTAAGCGAACTGAATGGAATTTGGTACTCTGGGAACATTCAGCGACTTTAAGCGAGACTATGCAAGGCGGAGAAGCATTGTGCCATTTGCTCGGTCTAGTGTGCTTCTCTGTACAGCGGATGCACACCGCCAAGAAGTGGAACCGTGCAGTGTGGAAAAGCAGCCAGCACTGTGGAAAAAGAAAATTGAGGCTGAATATATTTGACAGCTTGAACCAGGGGAAGATATAGAGAAATTGAGACAGGAGAGAATAGACAGCTGACTACCAACGATTATTTAGTGGGAACTTCTTTTTCCTTGCGTGTTTTCAGACACCAACAAAAATTATTACATATTAAAACCTATTATACTAATATAATAATGCATGTGTATGTTTACAAAATTTTCACATTACCTAAACCTAAACTAATATTTTAAATTCACCCGCCACAAGCTCATACTGCCATTTTCTGGACCGTAACGCACCGTAGATATTGTCTCTCCTTTTTGTGAATAGTGATGGACGGGGTGCTGACGCACCCACTCGCTTGTTCTTCGATAGCAAGCGCCTCGAGCATCTCACGCGCATGAGTATTGTTATTACTGGCTAGGATGGTTATGTCCTTGAACGCTGCACTGCAGTGGCAAGTCCTGCAATGAGCTGCAAGATGCCCTGCCGACGTTCCTTGAAGGGATGCTGCGTGCTCGCGGGCTCTGTCGTTAATGCATCGGCCCGTCTGGCCGATGTAGCACTTCCCGCATGAAAGGGGAATGTTGTAAACCACTCCTGTCATGCATGGTACATATTGTGTTCTGTGGGCAATGTCGCACGTTTTTTCTTTGCCTGTTCTGTTGTTCACTCGTCTGCACATGGAGTACGCTTTGTTAGGCGCGGAGCATACTACTTGGATCTCATTCCTCGCGGCGATCTTTTTCAATTTGTGCGTAATCCCGTGAACGTATGGTAGCACAGCGATCTTCCTTCGGGTTTCCTCGTTTACTTTTTTGCCCGACTTTGCACTCTTCAAGTTTCTGCAGATGGTCTCACAAACGGGTACCAAGATACTTGTTGGGTATCCCGAATTCCGTAATCGTGACATCTGTTTTTCAAAGCTCGGCCCTATCTGGTGTTTACATGATTTGTTTAAGGCAGAAACTAACGCCGTGCTGGCGATACCTCTCTTAATAGTTCTTGAGTGGCCGGAGGTAAACGGCAGAAACCCTTTTGCTGACCGGGGTTCGTACCTCCAGCAAACGTGCCCTTGTTGGAAAATTAGCGCGAGGTCTAGGAATTTGATATTTTTGTCCACAGGTGATTCATGTGTGAACACCAATTCGGGGCAACTTTCTTGAAACACTTGCAGAATAATATCCTTGCATTCTTCACTCTGGTCGTCACCTTCTGTGGCACAAAGTACTAAAAAATCGTCCACATATCGGAAGATGGCTGTGACCCTTGTATCTGTGAGATTACTTGCGATGATCTTTCCGCATGCCCCCAGGAATAAGTCACACAATTGCGGCGCTACCCGAGACCCAATACATACTCCACTCTTTTGCACATATTGTTGATCTTGAAAGTCTACTACAGTGGAAGTCAGATATACACCTAATAGTTCCAAGAAGGTGCTCACACTTAGTCCAGCATTATTCTGAAACGCTGTAGAGCCCTGCTCCTCGATGGTGGATCGGAGAATCGCCATGAGTCTTCTGTGTGGGATTGAGTAATGCATATCTTGGATATCGATGGAAAATCCAGATGTGACGCTTTCTCCATTCTTCTTAAGATATTCAATTAAATGTTCCGAGTTCTTAATTCTGTACGGATCGTCGGATTCTATCAAGGACAACTGTTTCGCCAGGAACGTCGACAAATGGACTTGCCAGGTTCCTCTTTCCGACACAATGGCCCGAAACGGTATGCCTTCCTTATGTGTTTTTGCTGAGAAAAAAACTTGCAGGTGTCCCTTCTTCGTTTTCTTTATTTTTGTGCTGAGGCTGTTAAGTTCGTTATTATCAAGTAGCTTCAGGGCTGCTGGTTTAGACTTCTTGCTTCTTTTTTCTTCCACATGAATGAAGTTCTTAGCCATTGCAGCAGAAGCTTTTTCTTCGTATGCGTCTGAATCTAAGACCACAAATCCGCCTTCCTTATCAGAAACACAGAGCTTAAGATCTTTGCTGATTAGCTCATGTACTGTGGTACCAAAGCTCCTATTTGCTTTTGCTGAGCTTCTTTGGCTTGCGATGCAGTCAATCCCTTCACTGATTATGCTTGACGCGCTCTCTTCTTGAGCCTTGGATGCGATGTTTCTGACCAAGGCAACCTTGTCAATGGGCTGTAGCCGTGGTGGTAGAGCAAACTTCGGCCCTTGTTCTAGTATGTTTCTCGCCTTATTTGAGATACTAATATCTCCGATGACTTGAAGGGCCTGTCTTTTTGGATGTTCCTTGTCCTTCCTTGCCAGGTGCTCCTTGAAATATGGGAGATACTGTGTTGTCCACATGGTCTCTGTTGAATGCCTTGCGATAGTCAGGTGGTTAATAAAAACATTGTAGTGGGGACACTTGGCACGTAGAAAATCTGTGAGAAGACGTTGTTGTCGCCAAGTCTCTGACCTGAGGATCTTGCTTACTCGCATAGCATGTCCCTGCGACGGAGCTATAAGGCCGAAGACTTGCCTTACATCATCTAGGATGATATTCTTGTTGATGCTACGTGCTAGTAGCCTACCTTGGCACGTGGTGGTGGCAATAAGATGGCTTAGAGTCTGCGGGGCCATTGATTGAATGCGTAGGAAGGAGGGGCTCAAATAACTAGAAAGAAACTGAGTAACGGTTGATAGTGGAGCTTGTTGGTACATACTTGTATATATTTGACAGCT